CTCATTCCTTCCTACATTTATTATTTAGTTTAATAGCAATATAATGTATGTATTCCTGTATTAATCCCCCTGACATGTCCTCAGTAACTGGACAAAATAAAGACTGAGAGAACTGTATTTGATTTTTGCAAGGTCTTATGTTGGAAGGATTTGCCAGCCACGGAATTAAACTCTGACAGAGTCTTAGACCACATCACTTAAGTTGTATTTCTTGTGGGAAAAACAAGACAAAACACAACCTTCAAGTAGGGAACACATAGGGACATCGCAATATGAAATGTTGTTGTTACACTATTGTGAGCATAATCACAATTTTACAATAAAGTAATTGACATCATGACCAAAAAATAATCTTGAATTTTCTTTCATTCAATGTTTAATGCATCACTATTCTTTATGTAAACAGCCTTATGAAATCAAACCTTGAATTCTAAGGTAAAGTTGTGGATCACTCTGAAACATAAGATACAATGAAAAACATAAAAATATCTGAAATGATCATAAATATTATTATTGATATTATTTTCTTATGTATTAGGTTATCTGTATTTATTTATTTATTTTTTCATATTAAAATTATATAAAACAAAACCAAAAACAGGCAAAAAACAAAACAAACAAACAAAACAAAAAAAAACCTCCCTCACCCCACCCTCTCTCCACACTCAAAATACCCACAAAACAAAAAGAAAACCTCTTTTGTTAACTTTTATGACGCATTTTGGTCAGCTGAAGTTGTTTTAAATGTGCTATATAAATAAACTTGAATTGAATTATATCATATTGTGACCAGAATAGTATGTAATCAATAATCAATACTTGGTAAAACATGAAACCTCAGCTAAACAAACAGCTGACCATTTGCAGCATCACATTACAGCAGAACAAACTTTTCTTTCACAGAGTAAACAAAATCCTTGGTCTAACTTTCTCCAGGCAGCTGCATCTGAGGGAATTTGTGGTTAAGTCAAGCCAATTGTCCAACTTAACCACGTTATCAAATCATCAAAGCGCTCCAGTTAACAGCTATTTGGCCTGTTTTCTGTTGGCTGACCATACTGCAACTGAAGAACTGACTTTAAGTGGCTAATAGGTCCATGTGACTGGACTTGAGAAAGCAGCTCAGAACAGCAAATTCAATTATCATGTTAGAATTCTGCATGAAAACAATCTATACTAGAAATTAGAGGTATTCCTGTCAGATGACTTGGGTTAGCAGGGATAATGTCATTTGGTGCAGCCTTACGCCTTCTTTGAATGTTATCAAATGTTTACAAAAGGGCTTAATGTGCTAAAATGCAATCAGACAATCTACGCGTTTTTCTGTTCAAGTTGTTGCAATGGAGCTAGTTAGTCCATTGTAAATCTAAGTAATGTTGTTACTAATTAAACAAAAGCAGTTCTTCCACCCTGATTTTTCAAGACCAAGACAATTTGAATGTTTTAAATTGTAAACCATCAAACATGAATAAATTGCCCTATACCTACATATATAGTACCTACACAATAGAATACAAGTAATTTCTCTCACTTATTCTGGCATATATAGTGATTTATGGTGCAAAATTGTGCTGTGTTATGCATAATAAACCAAAGTTAAATTAAACTGTTGTGAATGAATAGTGATTTATCAGATATAGATACATTAAAGGTCCTATATTATGCAAAACTAACTTGTGTGAACATGTTATCATCTTGTTACCTCCTCAGAAATATAACTGGAGTTTTGTTTCATTCACATTTTTGAATAACCTTTATTATTGTCTGTCTACATCTGTAAAGCTCAGAATACTTTATTCCACTTTGTGATGCCATGTAGTGGTAATTTTCAAATTAACAGCTATGTTTTACCTTTTGTTCAGTAAAAATTGGCTATCCCAGTGCTGAAATTAACCAAATGATTCTAATGAAGATGTATGGAGTTTACAAACACAATGAAGCACTTCCTGTGTTACCACATGACATCACAAGGTGGAACAGAGAGTTTTCTGTTTGAGGGAAGAACTCAGCCTAAATATTCAGGGTTTTTGTGTTAAACATGTGTGAATGAAACAAAACACCAAACAAGGTATGTTTTCAATGAGGAAACGTTATAACATAGATCAGCAAATAGTGTAATATAGGCCCTTCAATATGACCTTATTATTCTCCAAATGAGAATTAATTAATTTGTAAATAATTTGCATAAATAAAAACAAAAAATGCGTTGAAATAACCGAAAGAACAGGGGTTGAATGTAGCTCAATGAACTTGTGTTGAGAGCAAATTGAAGATGGGACATTGGACGCCCCATTGACTATAATTGCACAATGACCTTTCCTGCACAAACTAGTCTCCGTAACCTCATTCCCTGTTTGTCTCTTAGTATTATTGTTTTCCAAAGCCGCTGTTTTGCATAATTCACAACGCTGCATAGTTTAATGTGGTCAAACGTGCTGATTTGTGTTGAAAATTGCCTCTCCCACACAGCTGTCTGATCCGTTTGCTAACTGTGGAACATTATGTATTTATATCATTACCCTGGTGGAGTCTCCATTCTGCCGCTACAGCACAAATGACGAATGACCTTCATTTCTCTAGTCGACCGAAAATTATAATATCACCAGCATGAAATAATAATGATGGTATCCATGTGCATACAGATGTAAAGTCTCACTCAATACTTTTGCCTTATGCAGCTTTATAGATAGCATAAAGGACAGTCAGAGTGGAGAGGCCATAATCTGTACAAAGGAGAAATAGGGATCTTACTTTAGACCAGAATAAATACAAAAGAATAAGACAGTATCTCAGTTGGTAGAATGTTTGTCCACTGATTCGAAGGTTGGTGATTTGAATCCTACTCTCCACATAAACATTATTGGACATTGATTGTTTTTCTGATTCCAGCTCCCACAAATGAATGCTGTCTCTGTGTCCTTGGGCAAGACACTTAACCCATCTTGCCCAGAGTGTCTGCGCACACTTGTGTATGAATTTGTGTGTGAATGAGTGAAGTGATGTAAAGCATTTTGAGTGTCTCGAATGTGGAAAAACGCAAAACTTGACCATCATTAACCCTATATAAAGTATGTTAATTAATGTGGCACCAAGAAATGTACTCTTATTTTGAGTTGACATTGATACCAGGCATGTGCAGTTTACAAGCTGCTGTGTGGCTTAGTGGTTTGGACTCATCACATACTCATCACCTCCCTCTTGGGTGTGGGTCATAGTTCCAACAGTGGCTCAGTGTTTCTCTAAAAGTAATGAAAGACCATCAGTTGCTCTCAGAATTGAGTATTGTTAGTATCTGGTGGCAGCAATGTAAAAGTTCAATGCTAGTTTGAAGCCCAATGAAAATTTTGTGGATCATAGCAGCATGGGTGAGCAGTTTAAGCAACTCTTGATTATGCTTAACTCATACCCAAAAATCCAGATTAGTGTATTTTATTCCTAATTTAATTGTCAAAGAGATTTAGACATACTTAAAGAGCCCACATTACTCTATTTTCTGATCAATCTTATAATGTTTCTTCATCGAAAACATACCTGGAGTTATGTTTTGTTTCATCCACACATGTAAAACACACAAAAAATGCACATTCTGGTCAATTTTTTCTTTCAAACACTCTCTTTCACCTTCATCAGAATCATTTGGATAATTTCAGCCCTGGACTTGCCAACCTGATCAAAAATAAAATGCATTTTGGGCTTTGGAGATGTGCACATACAAATAATAAATGATTACTCTAAATTAAAATGTCAGTATATCAAAACATTTAAAGTGTGTTTTAATGACGCAACTAGGTATGTATGTATGTATGTATGTATTTATGGAATGATAATAATGCACAGGGATGTAAAAAGAGTCCATAAATGCATTGATTTATGGCGTGCAAACCAAAACTATAAAAGAATGCCTTTTCTTCAGAATGAGCCCATTTTTATCAATAGTTTTCTTGTGAGAGTAACACTTTTCCAAACTTTGCCATTCTGAGTTTTTATGCGCTTATGTAATGATTACCCTTCCTATTCCCCCTCCAGCGTTTTGTCCTGGTAGGTCAGGTTTGGCTATATCCTTCCATAGGGGGCCTTCAAACTTTAGGAAGCTAACAAAAGCTCTCATTCTCTGGTCCATCACTGAGCCTCGAGGCACTGGTCATCTGCTCAAACCCCTGCATTGTCTGTACAAAGTCACATATTAAATTTGCCCATTTCATTGAGCTACTGCAGGAATTCCTTTGCTGGGTCATTCATATGTGTACATGGTTTGGACACACATTTGAAACAAAGCGAGCAGTCAAGGATAATATTGAGGAAGTTACATAGATTTCCACTTTTGCAGCATATGTCATGTCTCTTTCATGCACCAGTCCTGATAGTGACAGCAGACACAGCGGGAGACACTGGCTGGTTGTGCATGCAGTGATCCAAAATATTTCCTTGCATGTGTAATGTTTTGCACTTTATTAGGAATTCTGGATTTTCCCCGCCAGGAATGTCAAGGCATGTATGGGGCTAAGAGAGCTCTCTATGCCAGTTTACAATCAACAATGAATGATAAAGAGCAAAAATCTGGTCCTATTTCATCAGTTTGAGTTGGGATTGTGAATAAGGTTAGCGCTTGTTTGCTCAGTTTTAGTCCATATTTCAGTGTTCATTTGTGCCTCTACTAAGGATTCCTGTCCAGAAAATATATTTATAACATAACTAACACTAGCCTATGATAAAATAAAATAAAAACTTGCATGGAAAGTCTATTAGGCCTATTTAATCTATATTAACACAACAGCACGTAATCGAGAAAATATAGGGCTATTTTGGATGTACTAATGTAGGCTGGTATTATTAAGATTAGATTTGGCCAAGGCTTTGTTATGTGGTTATCCTTTGCAACTTCAAAATCATCATCAAAAGGTGATGGCGCGCTCCACTTTCACAGAGCCTCATCACTAGTATATCCCTCCGCTGCACAGGTGTTTACGCTTTAGGATCATATAGTTCTATGTTTAGGATAACTGACGTACATTTACAGTAAAGCAAGACTTTTTATGTGATTCTGGTTTTGTTGGGCTTTGTGCCGCCCACAGCGCGTCTTTGGAGGTGAACTGTGAAGGTTAAGTGCAAGAAGACACGTACGATCACGGGGGAGATTTTTGTCACGACGCCAGGTTAGATACACGTGCACACAGGCTACATTTACACTTGTATTAAACACGTGTTAGCTGGCGTCAGTTAGCTGCTGTTTGCAAATTAGCTGCTATAGCCTATTAAGCATCACCTGCACAATTATTGTACGTTTGTAACATGAAAAATACATTGCTATTTCTCAAAACTGCAAGGCCTAAGAAAAGGCTTATGCTTCATTTGAATAAAATGCGTACGCTGCACATAGTGCAGCTACATTTAACTTCTTCAAGTCTAATCCATGCTTGAATCAGAACAGTTGCAGCATAATTTGTTTTCATCCCACACGTGGTGGTAAACTGCTATTGCCACAGCTGCCCTGAGACCCAACTCGCCTTGAAGTGTCCGTCATTCTGCGCCCATAGACGACCCATAGATGTAAGTGCATCTTAGCACTGAAATATTCATTCAAACATAGCCAAGGCTAAATATTTGACAACATATGTAAGTGCACATTTGAACATGAAGGCTGTTGCTGATTTTCCAGCCATGACCAGAGTAAAGTGAACCTCAACTTGTCCCAAGATTCCTCTCAATTCAGTGCATTAATCACTCTGTAAACATTCAATTTATTTCAAAGAAGCTTCCAGTTTCCTTAAATTGTATTTGTCTGAAACCAAAGTCACCTGACAGCATTCATCTATACTGTGCTGCTGCTGCTGTTGTCTCTAATCCAGTCTAATAAGGTGAGCTCAGTGAGCACCTCTGGCTGACCAGAGCATGAGTGCCAGCTGTTGTGTTATCACTGGTGTTTTACAGTAATGCATTAAAGGTTAGAGCCCACTTATTTATCACTGACTAAGTAGTAAAGTAAATGTCATTACATGGCCACGGCTAAACTTAGACCAATCCAGTGAGAGCTGCTGAAGTCTGAAAGGACACTCTGTCTGGGCTATTTTAACATACCGTGTTGTGTTTACAGTTGTCCAAATATTACCTGAACCTAAATAGCAATTTGTAAAGGTACAAGCGACAAATCAACCTGCATACTTGTTTCTAGCCATATGTTAAGTTCTATATCCATTTATACCATCAGATACAATATAATAATAAAACATGTCATTTGATGCTATATTAATGTTTTATTACTCTGTTTTATTAGGTGTTAGAAGTTGAAGTGTTTATCCTAATCCTGCTAATGAAGATCAAAAAACAAGATGAGCGCAGGAGCTGTCCCTTTCAAGACATTCAAAAAGGTAAGTCTCCACATTACAGTGTAGGACACTAATGGTCATATTTATGTCTCTTTCTTGGTTACACAGCGCTTTAAAATTTTAAAATAATATTCAGTATCTGCAGTAGAGTTTGCTGGATCCGATACATTTAAAACATATCTGTATCCTGGGTGGGCCTCCAAATTGATGTAATAAGACCATTGACTAGCAGATGTTGGCTCAGAACATCATAATGTTTGAACATTTTAATTATATAAAGCTGTTCTCTACTTAACGGAAAAGTTACATAACACATTTGGACCAGTTTTGTTATGTGTTTATGAGTCTCTTCGTTGGTATTGGGGTATCGACAAATACTTAAAATCAAAGTCAGACTCAAAACTCTGGATCAGTGCTTCTTCAGTTTTTGTCAAGAACTGTATTGTGTCCGTGCCTTGTGTCTTGTCCATGATGTATTCTAGGCTCTCACATGAGGATGACACAAGGCGTCTGGTTTCACTATAAAATTAGTCTGACATTGATGAGGTCACAAGTGTCTCTGTGTGTGGTCTCTGCACCACACACTCCACTCACTGTTACTGTTCTTCTGTGGTGGGACCAGAGGCATGAGAACAGTTATGACGCATGCCAGGCTCTGATTATACTTTTGACTGGGATTTAGTCAACATGTAGATCATTATTTTACAATTTATAAAATGCAATATTGATTTAAAAGGGTTTAATATTTGAAATTGGTCCATTGAAGCCTACCTCACATTGATCATCATCAAAATGCAAAGCCACTCTGTTGAACCATGTCTCTCAGCTTCCCTAACCTGGCTCATATCAGATTGATTCTTCATTCTGAATTGAGTTCTACACATTATCAATCTGAAACGGCTCGTACTGAAAGTGATTGCAAAAAGCAGAACGTCATGGCGACTGTTTGAATCTGAATCAAATTGAGTTAAATCCAGTTGCACAGACATCTTCCCTCTCCTGTACAAAGTGTTTACCTTCTGCACATTTTTCACAAACAAACAAACTAACTAAAATGGCGCCGCTATGTTCGTTTTGGTTCATTTGTGCACTTCACTTTTGTCTTCTCCACAAACATCAGTGCTGGTCAGTGATTGGTTGTCTCTTACCTGTCGGGCCCTATCCCACAAGTGGGTGCACGCCTAGGTGGATTCTCGTGAGTTTGTGAACTCACAAATATGGTGAGAATCCATCTTGCTGTGCAACTTGCCTCTCCATAATGACATTTCATCTTGGCGAGCAGTTGGTTTCATTCAGTGTGAAAGTGCAACATTTTTAACCCTATGTTATAAACTAGAAATCACCTAACCACTGCAGTGAGAACAGGACCATGGGCTGTGGTACAAGATAGCTGGACATCAAAATTTGCAGTCATTGAAAGCAGGACAATATATTATTAATTTTAAGGAAGATGGCTGTGTATTAATTGCCTTTAGTGATTTTGTGTTGTCAATATGCCCTAGTGTAAATAAACATGTCTGAGATGTGTACTCCTCAGTGGAGCACAGAGCAGAGCTGGTGTGGAGCCGGTGAGTTGTAGCTCCTTCGTGGCCACATCATTTGTTTCAGTGGCTGAAGGTCTCTGTTGGCCAGTCTGTAGCTGGACCAAATTAAGAGGTGCACTGAGGATGGATGAGAGCGCGCCCAGTGAAAGATTGGCGGGCACGATGAGATTTTTCCTTCCATTCCTCCCTTCTCGCCTCGTTGTTCGCTGCCCTCTGTCAGATAGATGATGTGCAAGGGAAATATTATTTGTTCTGTTTTCACTGTTGATTCTGGCCTGTCTTTTTCATTGCTGCTCTCTCAATTTTCAAAATACAGATGCAGACACCAAGCAAAAACTTAGATACATATCTATGTTAGACCAATGCACTTTTAGCAGACCAATGCACTTTTAACACACATTTAATTTTGAGTAATCTTAATTTCCAACATTTTACAGGACTGAAGTGAAATTATTAACAGTTATACAATACAGTAGTAAATAGAGATTTATAGATTTATAGATTTTAGAAATTCATTTAGAAGTTTGCTCTTCTTGGTTCAAAACTGTTGCTGTGTAAACTTACAGAGATGCATTCACAAATGTTGTGTTTGTGACTGAACGAGGGCGTAGCTGGGCTGAAGGTCAAAAGTAAGATCAAGAATACTTCACTGCAGTTAGATTTTCTGCTTTGACAGTTGAAAGGGTGAGGTCACCCAATTTTTATTGATCCCTGTGTGACACGTAATATATAATCAATGAGCATTTTACTATTGCAATAGATGTGATAAAAGAAGGCACAGAGCAGAGACTGTCCATCTTTTGGGGAAATATGGCCCCCAGCAGTGTGCTTGTAGTTGAGCTGAATATTGTCATTTCAAATGAGTTAAAATCAATAGTAGATCATGAGTGACAGTTAAGGCCTTTACAGATCTTCTTAAAGATGCACTGTGTTTATAAGTATGCCCACTGTGTTCTGTGGAATCTGAATCTGAGGCACAGATGCGTCCATGTGACCACTGCTGTGAGATCATCTCATTTACAAAAATGTTCTGTATGTGCTTCAGTTATGTCGCCAGCTGCACTGTCCCATCCTTTCACTCTTATGGCCATCTCTATTCTCACTTCAGTAATATGTCATAATACCACTTTCTAATGCTCAGTGAATTCACTGATTTCAGCCAAAGTACCATTTACTTACCAGTGCTGGTAGGCTCCTTATGGGTAAATGGTGCTTCTTTAGCATTTGGTGGCATTTGGGAAGCTTCGCTCACAGGATAACTGCGGCTCATTTGTATGTTAATATCTTAGTGCCATAGAGTACGTTTGGTGTGTAACTTAACACTCAGTTGAAGTAATGACTTGGGTCACGAACACCATAGACACTGCAGAGGAACACATAGTTCCTCTTTTCTGTATTATACCTATATTTCTGCATCACTACATGTTTAAATAGTGTGTATTAGTGTGACATGGAGGTGACTCATTGACCAGTGATGTACAGATGTTGTTCAAACATCAGCCTGAATGATCTAACCCTGAGTCAGGACACATCATGTGCAGTGTTTCAATGACTTTTCTTTATTCTTTGATGCAGATGATGGTGAGATCATTACTTTCTTTCTATTATGTAGAAAATGAACATTACAATATAGATAGAGAAAACAATCCCTGTACTTCTGTCAAAGCGTGTTTACACATTCTTATTGCAGTAATGTTCTTTTAAGAAATGAATTAGCACCAAACTCTGTAATCACTCTAACATTGTTTACTGTTACTATCTATACAAAATAAACACTTAAGTCTTAGAGCACTATTGCACTGTTTTTCATTTTCATCTATTCCCAAACGTAATTTAACACAGTGCAGGCTATTTCAATAAGATGATGCTGTGGCTCCCGCTGCAGCACTCGTAAAAAGAAAGTTGTTGTGTGAATGTTCTATGCAAATGTTTAGTGTATTAGCATACACAGTTGTAATTAAAGCATAATTAGAGAGACAAATGGTGCTGTGAAGCTCTGTGCTTTGGCTCCCGAGTCTGTTTATCAGCAGCCCCTGTTTAGTCGACTAAAACAGGTTTATATGAAACGAGTGCTGCAGACTGCTGCATTAATTGTTATCATTGCCTTGGAAAGCAAATAGGTGCCATAGCGCTACGGACTGAGAGAGAGGGGGCAAGGGAGATGGAGAGAGAGAGAAAGAGAGAGAAAGGGAGGCAGAGAGAAGGAGATGGGGAGGAAGCAAGAGAGAAAGGGAGAGTGAGGGGGAGAGAGAAAGAGAGATGGAGAAAGAGGAAGGGAGAGCAAAAGAGAGGAGTGCTGAAGACAGAAGGGAAAAAGAGCAAATTAGATGGGAAGAGAGAGAGAGAGAAAGGGAGAGAGATATGAAGAGAGAGAGATAGGAAGAGAGAGAGAGAAAAGAAAAGAGATGGAGAGATGGAGAGATAGAGAGAGCCGGAGTGGGACCGGGACAAATGAGTGTGGAAAATGAGAGTGTCGAAATTGGAGAGGGATTAGCACAGACGATAATGAAGCAATTAAAGAGTAAGCGCTCAGCACTCAGGTGCCTTTACTGAGCTGGTTCACTCCAGCTGCTTTCAGACGCGCCAATGCAAATATATCCCCAATGGTGAAGAGAGGAAACACTGTGTCCTAATGGATCACTGATACAGGCTACATGACGAGCTGCGTTCTAATGCAATGAGACAGATAGTGGACAACACAATCTGACACCCACACAACCACAGTCTGTACCTTTCACAACTCGCAATGTCATTAGAATAAAGATAAGGCTCCTTCAATTACTAAAAACAGCTGAAAGCAACCACAGCCATGACTGAAATCCCTGCAGATACAAAAAGACATGTTTCTATACTGTTTATGTATTCTTTATTTAATAGGGACAGATACAACAAACATAGATTAACATGTTGTAATCCAATGCAGGTATCACTGTTGAGGATAGGCAGTTTCACCAGTTGCTAGACAGGACAACACAATCTGACGCACGCACACACGCGCACACGCGCACACACACGCGCACACACGCACACACACACGCAGACACACACAGACACACACACGCACACACACACACAGACACACACAGACACGCACGCACACGTGCGCGCGCGCACGCACACGCGCACGCACGCACGCACACACGCACATGCGCGCGCGCGCACGCACACACACACACACACACACAGTTGATACCTTTCACTACTCACAATTTCATTAGAATAAATATAAGGCTCTGTCTTTTAGTAGGATTAACCAAGATCATTTCACTGACTAAAAACAGCTGAAAGCAGTCCTGTTCATATAGTTTTTATATATTTACTTGTTTATTTAATAGGGACAGATACAATGAACATAGATTAACATGTGGTAATCCAATACAGGTATGAATGGTGTAGAATAGGCAAAAACACTAGTTTCCAGGAGGGCTTTTAATAGATCATATTTCACAAAATGCTATGCACTATAACTTTCCTCTTTCAGAAAAGGCTACAGGTGCA